CGCGAAGAGCGAGAAAGACACGAAGATCAGGGTTTTTGGGCTGAACTACCATGGTCTTCGTTGTCTTTAGGTCTCTTTGTACATTGCTGTAGGATAGGGTTTGCAGTGTAAAGCCGCGGTTTCTCGGTGTTGCCTTGGTGTCGGGGGTTCTTGCATTCTGCTAAACCCCTAATCAAGCCTGAACTTTCGAGCGCTAAACTACCCAAACCCTTAAACTCCAAACCCACGGTTTAGGGTTTAGGGTTTAGGGTTTAGGGTTCAGGTACAGTCGCAAAGTCTTACATGGGCTTTCAATTCAGGGTTTGGCTTGCGGCACGTGAGGATATGGGAGGTACCAGTACTTGGTAGTACTGGTACTCGTCAGGCCTGTAGTGCTAGCCCTAGTTGTCAGCAGCAAGGCTGGTATAGAACATCAGTTGCAGGATCCTGTTAATGAGGACTCCCCCCCCCACGCCCGCTTCTCAACTTTTTGAGCGGACACCCCCTTGTCGACCCGTCTTTTGAGATATTCTGAAAACTTACAGTAAGAATGCTGTGTTAAAGCTTATAACGCACTACAGAACGCTCAGAAGCCCTACAAGCACCCGGAAGCAAAAGGGAAGCGTCATAGTGCACCAGAAGAGTCGCTGCGAGCACCCAAAACTCATGATTTTCATCCAAAGCATTATGCCTTACATGCGCCCTAAACACTAAGCCCGATAGACTCCAAACCCTGACCGCAAACCGAAAACTGCAAGCTCCTTCTTTGTTTTCCTGTTAGTCCGAACCCCAAAAAGAGACGAAGCCGCCCTGTCAGGCCTCGAAAATGCGGGGCCGCGAGCGGCGGAGTCGGAGCTCCGACGGACCGAGGCCACGCGGGAACGGGGGGGGCGGGGTGTATAGGGGTGTGTGCGGAATAGGTTTGGGGGGTTAGGGTTCAAAAGGGTCTGGCTTTCGTGGCTGGGGTTTAGGGGTTTAGGGTGTGGGTTAGAGAGAGAGAGAGAGAGAGATAGATAGAGAGAGACAGCGTGTAGCCATTTGGGCTCATGCAGTAGGTTCCAGTTTGGCTCAGCATCGTTTTTCTAGATTCGAGAAATGAAGTTCCCTGTGCTGCACTACCAGCAGTTTTCAGAGGTCTATACAAACCGGATCACTGGAGGTTCTACTCGTGGCGAGGGTGGCAAGCGTGCGGTTGCCGCAGCCGAAGCGGCCTTGAAAACCTTTGGTGACAAAGATCCGGCGCCGTATGAGAAGCCAGGCAGCCGACCACGGATTTGGGCACATCTGGCGCTACAGGAGCTGGACAGCAGCGAGTTCATCCGATCCTTGCAAGGGTTTTCGAAAGCAGTGGAGATGGAAGGAGCAGATGCAGGGAAAAAGTTCCCCGTCCATGCCTCGGTCAGCGGCAAGAAGGGCCACGCCCAGAACGACATCATTCGGAACCTGGCTCACAGTCTTCCGCAGAAATTTCGGAACACGTGGGCTCCCGCACTTTCACAGCACGAAGAAGTTGAACCTGACAAGGAGATGTCCGATAAGGAGTCGCAGATGACCGATGAGGAGCTCAAGGCAAACTTGCAGGCACGTTTGGGGGACTTGACGCCGCCACGCAAGCGCAAAATGTGATCGATGAAGAAGAGTTTGGATCTCCGCGCAGTTCCTTTTTGCTAGGAGAATTTCTCGATTCGCCGATGAAGTTGTTAAACGCGGCCGAAAGGTACCCGAAGCTTTTCAAACCACTAGCCAGTATGCTGATGAAGTACGTCCTTGAGGACATGAAGGCCTGTTGCGCGGGTCGCAGGCAGATCTGATTAAGACACGGGTGTCCCCACCTGAGAGTTCCCTGCTGGCAGTTTGCTGTTGGGGCGGATAAGCTAAGTAAGCCGGCTAATTTGCTGGCTGCAAAGAGAAAGAGCGAGAGAGAGACACAGAGAGACAGAGAGAGAGAGAGAGGGAGAGAGCGAGACATTAAAACAAGAGGGAGGATGTGGCGGATATTGAAAGGGATCCTAGAGAGGGAAGGAGCCCGTTGACCTGGGGGTCTAGTTCACAACACAGCCCAGTTCCTTTTCACATGGGCACAAACCGGGCAATTTCGACTTGTGCTCTTCCGACCTGAAGGGCCTTTGCCATCTCATTTGCCGAAGAAGCGCCAGCAGCTCGCGTCGGAGCCAGACGTAGATCCTATTGCTGACGGCAGCAACAGAGGCGCTTGATCACATAAAAGATGAGAACTTGGTTGGAGGAGAAAGGCGGAGATAACACATACTTGAACGAGGATCTTGATGGTTCCCGTGTCCTAATTGATGGACGAGCACAAGCCGTGACAGCCGCTTATGTGCTTCCAAAGTACCAGCTGAAACTTGTTCTGGAATATCCAGAGGACATGCAAAGTCGTCTGGACTTGTTCATGTCCTCCTTGCATGAAGACCCAGGGCTCATGATGAAACAGAGCTTGGGCAATGTGCCGATGTGGAATTTCAACTTTTCGCAAGTCTTTGTTTTGCGTTTTCGCGCTGTTGTATGTTTTGCCTGGCGGCCAAAATTTGTATGAGCACCCGCTCTTTGCACAAGATACAGCATCGGAGCAGCATGTTCTTTCATCAAAGCTTGGTAACCTGAAGCAGTCAAATGGGCGTCGCGTAAAAGTGCGAACTCCGTCGCCGTTTCACAACGTGGGCTACAGTAGCATCAGCGTTTTGCGCGAGACCTAATTAGAATGAATATAGTTCCCAAACGTGTCATGTGCAATCCGGCAGGTCTCCTTTTTTGCCTGGTTAGTTGCTTGTTTTTGCACAGGGTGAGAACACAAGAGGCCACCGGGCTTTTCTCACAGATCAACGAGCAACTTTAACTTTGAGGCACGGGAGGCTGTTTTCGTGCCGATATCTTGTGCAGCATGGAGCGATGTTGTGTTTTTGGGTCCGTTGGCACACACTGTGGCTGTTTTGGAGCACGCGGCTACTCTGTAAAAACAGGAGATCGTAGACTTGTGTTTCAGCAGTACAACTTTTTAGGTAGTTGTAGCTTCAGAACCTAGAAACCCAAAAGCATTGTTTGCCGGCGTTTGCGTGAATTCCCGCAGTGTGGCAAATGTCGATCTAGGTTTGGCAACCATTGCAAGGCACTGTTTCGCACTGGGTCAGTTTTCACAGCACTCAGATGGTTTTTTGGAACTTGGAACATTCTCCACAGTCTCCTTATGCCCATAAGCCAAAGGGTGCGGTTTTGTGTCGTGGACCACAAAACGGACGCGGAAGACGTGCTTTGAGTTTTTGGAGCCTAGACCACCACGTCTCTGGGAGGCCTAGCCACAAAACCAAAGCAACGGACATGGATCATGAAGGTCTAGCCAAGCCCCGAAGCCAAAATAGCTGGTGTGAGTTTGGCGGCGTACTCCCAGTGCAACGGGACAGCAGCAGGCCTAGACGTGGCTTGCGCAGTTTGACACATCTTTCGTGGATTTGGGAGGCGTAGTTTAGCCCCAAAGTGACAGCAGCACAAATGGGTATTGGAGGTTTGGCCTCAAATTCAAAGCAGCAGACGTGGATTTAGGAGGCCTGGGCCCAAAGTCAAAGCAGCAGACGTGGATTTTGGAGGCTTGGCCCCAAAGTGAAAGCAGAAGAGGTGGATTTAGGAGGACTACACCCAAAGTGAAAGCAGCAGACTGGCCTCGATCCAAAGTGGAAGCAGCAACTTAGGGTTCCGAGGCTAGTATGACTTAAGCAGCAGTTTCTGTTGACAAGTTGTTTTAGAGTAGGTTTCTGTTTTTAGTCCATACTATGGTTGTCTGTCATTATTGAACGGGGTTTGGGGATGTATAGGCACTTTGTAGGGGTGCTTAGGTTTTGATACACGGTTAAATCTGGGATGAGTTGCTTTTTGCAGGGTCTAGGGTTTTGCTTTGTGTTGTGAGGTTGCTGAGACCGTTTATTCTAGAACTTAGTCTCACTTGACGATAGGCTTGACGGGGTTTTGGGTTCGATGGGGGTGCTGCAAGTGCCGCACCAGGGTACTGTAAACATAAAAGTTGTTGATTTCGTGTTTGCTGTGAAAGGGGTATAAGGCTGTAGGAGAGTCGGCAAGCCAAGAGCCCACTGATTTGTTGAGACATGCATAGATCTTTTCACGGTTTGCAATCCCAACATCAAGCTTGATGAACAGACTTCGTTCAAATCAGGGTTCTGGCAACCAAGGCAAACAACCCCGAAGTTCGTTTCAATTAGGATGGCTCACTACGTTAACGTAAGTTTGCGAATAGATCATCGAATACTTCAAGCAGCGGTGGTGCGGCGCTGGCATTACCTTCAGTGCGAAACCCGATGTGGTCATAGAGCACTTGTGATTTTCCATTTCCATTTTACAGATAATAACCAGTTTTCTCACCTCTCACACGTGCTGGGCAACGCTCAGCCTCGGACGGGCAGCGTGCGGAAGGAAACAGAGAGGCTTTAGAATATTTGGGTTAGGTTTTCAGGCTCACAGGGTGTCACAAGTTAGCAGCCGAGTAGCGACATGATGGGGGTCTTCGTGCTGCGGGCTTTGGAGCGGGTTTCGGAGTGGGAGGCAAGATGAGCCCGGTAAACGTTCGAGGAATATGACCTGACCGATTGTGTGTGCAACTATGTCGTGGGAAGGGTAGACGTCTATGACTACTTGCAACCGGTCACACACATTTGCGATATGTGTGTGTGTGTGTCCGTGCGTTAGGGCGTTTCGGCTTGGGTGTACGCTGCTCAATTCAGGTGTACCTTTATGCAAACAGGATCTGTTGTTTCGTTTCGATTTCGGTCAATTTATGAGGTTGTGGGGGCTGCAAAATAAGTACATCAAAACCTAAACCTTCCACCCGAACGGCCTCCAGGATCTACATGCCTAAAGGCCGTGCACTCTGTAGCTAAACCGAATTTGCTTCAAACCCGCAAAATTTGCATCCTGGCCCAAGTGCTACACCCTATAACGCCCAAAACCTAAAACCCTCAACCCCTCATCCCTGAAACCTCAAACTTCGCCACTTGCAGGCGCACTTCGATGCGCAGTGGAGGGCTCTGCGCAACGATTTGCCCCGGAGCCCAGCTCAAAGGTGCCTGTGGTATACGGCCGTTCCCAAAGCTTTCTAAAAGTTTTCGAAGGTTTCTCTATGTGGATCCCCTACCGGACTGAGTTTCTATATTCTTTGGGGCTTTGTACAGCAATACAGCATTTTCTTTCGATAGGGTTTGTTTTCGGTTTACGGTTTCGAGGCCTGTGGGTTTAGGAAGTTTAGGCTTTCGGTGTTCAGGAAGTTCAGGAACTGGGGCTTGGCAGTTTCAGGCTTTAGGTCTTTCGGGCTTACGGTTTCAGGGTGTAGGTTCTGGCTTACCCGGTGTGTGTAGCTTTCGGAGGAATATCCGGTTTGGAGTTTACGGGTTTTGTGGGCTTTGATTCGCGTTAAGGTTCAGGGTATACAATGCCAGACCTGAACAATTGAAGGGGTTGCACCTTCGCACGTCTAGCCCTACCGTAAGCCCGTGGTCTGCATTCCCAGCAGCCTTGCCAGTCGCGTATAATAAGGATCAGACAGCAGCAATGTGGCTCCGGCATTGGCTTCGACTAGTCCAGTCAATTCGCCCCGAGGCAGCAGAGTAATGAGTAATTAAGTGCTTCCCTAGGTGATGTGCAAGATTCGGTTCCATGTGCAAAGCTCAGCGGGTAGTGGTTGTCAGAACAAAACCCCAAAACCCTAAACCCTAAACCCTAGACCCTAAACCCTAAACCCTAAACCCCAAAACCCTAAACCACCAACGGCCCTACACTCTGCTCTAGGCCGCAGAAGCATAAACCCTAAGCAAAGCTTGTGAGACCGAAGAGGATATAAACAATCGACGGCCCTCTGACAAGCTCTACAAGCCCGTGTGACTTGTCAGACCCTTATAGTCCTTATACTGGCAGCTGAATAACCCCTCGAAAACGTCATGAAGCTTGGGAAGAACCCGGTCGTGAGAGCGACATCCAGAAGCAGGTGGACATCATGACAGACAACATGTGCAGAGTTCAATGTGAAGATGAAACAAAAGTTTCTGCTTGGGGTGAAATCCGACCCTGGTTCGATTTTGTTGGTGACCGCCATGGCCATGAGACCAGTGCAGGCGCAGCTGCACCGCTTCCTCAGCAGAGGTTCCAAAGAGTGGCTTCACCTTGGTCGTCAGTGACCTCGATGCCTGTGACCATGCGCGAGACTCTCCAAAAGCCGCCCAAGAACAAGCACGGACGTACTCTGTGCTAGAAGCATGCAAAAGGGTCTGATTTGAAGAAGTTTCGCTCGGACCTTGATGAGTGTTTCCCGGCGGCTCCTAAACCGTAAACCTTGAAACCCTGTGCCAGGAGAACGGAACCCAGATAAAACATGATAAAACTCGTGTAGGTCTTTAAAGATGGTAGTAAGAATGCTCAAACGAGACTTTAAAAAATCAAGAACCCTTATAGAACCTTAAAGAAGAAACTCGTCCAGAACCCTTATAGAACCTTTAAAGAAACTCGTGCACTCGAAATCCGAGGCAGGGCCAGATGGACGAGCTGACCCGCAGCACCCGAAGTGAGCTGGGCCGACTGCGAGGTGGCAACGAGACTTTTCTGTAGGGTTTCAATATGTTGAGAGGGCGTGAGAGAGAGTTGTAGAAAAGGGTTTATAGGGCTTGAGATCCGCTTTCTAGAGTGCTTCCAATTTGTGAAAAAAGAGGTTTTAACATGGTTATCTTTCTAGGTGTAGGTTTTATAGGGTGTTATTGGTCGGGTGGGTTTATAACAGTGTTTGTTATGGTGCTTGAAAGTGAGGTTCAAATAGTCCTGTAGTGTTTCACAGAGGGTTTTCAGGCTTGTGTCTCGGGATTTCGAGGTTCTGTAGTTGGGTAGTTCTCTAAATTAGGGTCCCTTGTGGGGTCCTTTTTATAAGGGTGCCGTACTATAGTGGGGGCCCCAAAAGGGACCCTAATTTAGAGAACTACCCAGTTAGTGGTTTCGGGGCTCCAGCTGAGCCGCTTACAACGGGTTTCTGCGTGGTCTAGTAACCTTAAACCCTACCTGGACCCTGAAGAACCTACCTTTTTAGGGCTCGTTATTAGGATTTCTTTAGATAAATCCTTGAAGAGGTAGGTTCTTTGGGGCTAAGGTAACCCCTACACCCCAAGGCTTTTTGGTTGCTGGGATTCTTGACTTCGGGCTCTTTGGGACAAGTTGCTCTTGCAAAGCGTGGCTCCTGTGCGGCCCTGTCAAGGTCTTTATTTGTAGTTCTCAACGGCTTAGGGTTTCGAACGCGGCAATCGGCAATGATCATTAGTAGCTCCGACTGAAGCAGCCAGCCAGAACTCTTCGTGTGCACATGTGGTGGCCAGGGTTTCCGACTGACACATCCACAAAGACTGGGACAACAGCATCATGTTCGATACACGTCGCCGGTATCGAAGCACAACCTGGCCCCTGCTAGGATTTACCAAGTAGGAAGAAATATAAATATGCCAAACCTTCAGCTTTTCCAACCCCAACACCCCCCCCTAAAAGCCCTACGACTACGTCCTCGAGCTTGCTACTGGCTCCAGAAGCGGCTGACAGAAAAGCCCTAAAGCCGAGACTGGCTCCAAGTACCTGAGGTCCTACAATGTTTTGACTTCCTGTCAGTCCCCTCTTTTGATAGAGTTCTGGGTTCAGGAGTTAGGCTTCTGTTCAGGCTTTCTTTCTCTGACTCTGTTTTGCTGCCTTTTGCTTAAAAAAGGGGCCTAAATAATCACCTATACTGTGTTGGGGTTCCTTACTATAGTTATAGTATAATATAGCGCAAAACCCTGTCCTAATTATTATAAGGCCCCTACACCCTAAACCCTTACAGTAGCGCTTATAGCATCCCTTACAGGAACCCTTAAAAGGATCTCCTAAACCCTATTCTAATTATTAAGGCCCCTACGTTCTGTTTCCTGCCTACTCCCGAAGGCTTGCAGACGCAGTCTGAGGAGGGTGCGCGCCGTCTCGACGCGGTGCTTGCAGAGTCTGCGACAGGTGGACGGCTGGTCTTTACGATTCTACAAGGGGTTTGTCGGTTTTTACAGGGCTTCCAGACAGTGTCTGTAGGTTACATATAGAAGGTTTCTATAGGGCTGTATGGGTTCTTGTCGTTGTTTTGGGGCTTGAGCAGGGTCTGCGGATGTCGAGTGTAGTCAGTGTTCGGGTATGGGGATTGGTACGGACTCTTGGTGCTGGTGTGGACAAAAGTGCATGGTCCTGACAGGGCTTTCAGGTTGAGGGTTCGAGTTTCGGATTTATGGCATAGAGTTTTGAGGGGGGTCTGTGTGATGGAAGCATTAAGCTCCACCACGTTTACTTTTTTATCAGGGGGTATGGGAGCCGAAAAGCTTGGTCGCTCAGTCTTATTTGTCCCTAAACCCAAACCCCACCCTAAATTCATGATTGGCAACACCAAAAAAGGAACTATAATGGGTAGGGCGGTAGGGTTTGTTGCTTTGGGCACGGTGTTGATTAAGTCTCAATTGGGGTACATAACTTTGAATTTCATAGGATTACAACTCCACACCCAGGTTTCTGAAACTCAACACCAGAAAACATGCAACTCACAGCCCCAACCTCAAACAACGACCCAACATTTGGCACTTTTACACAGAACCTACCAAAGCGTCCACAGGAAGCACGAGGGTCCTCTGAATTTGGGCTCTTGTCCTTACTATGAGTTTTACGCCTTGCTCGGGGATCCGAAACATGGAACTGTACCGAGAGCCCTAAAAACCCTCCAAGCCCGACAAGTGACAAGACCTCACTAGCCGTGGAAGGCTTTTCTGGAGCCGATAAAAGACCCCTTAAAATCAGGACGGACCGACCCGCATCTTAAACAATGCTTGCTTGGCAGGGCGACAGAAGGCCGAACGTGTAGAAAGCCAGCTGGAGGCCCGTCTTCGGACTTTGTTAGGTAGCTCGGATTCTACTGGTAAGTTCCCTCCTGCCACGCATCGTCTTCGCACAGCAGTAACACGCATGTCCGTCTCTGACGTGCTCCTACTTGGAACGCCGTTGAGACTTTAGGAGGTGACTTTGCTTTGATGTCCTGTGATGTCCGTTGCCATCCTTTAGCCTTGTTGTCAACTTGTGTTTTTCTCTTCCAACCCTCTATTCTGGTGGGTTAAGGCTCGCATCGGAGTTTGACCGACTGATTTGGGAGTTTCCGAACATTAGGGGTACCTTATTTTGGGGTCCCTATAATAAGGATCCTATTATTTGGGGTACTACATTAGGGTCCCCTATTTTCAAAAACCCCCATTTCAAGCTCCAGCTCATAAGCCTGACTGCTCAGTGCATAGCGGTCAAGGGTTCTGTTCCAAGTTGTCGAATCTCTTCGCAATGCCTCCTGCACGTCTGACGCTTGCCCTCTACCCTGAAGATGACCATTGTGATCCAGAGACCCAAATGCCCTTGAAGCCGCCATCCATGAAAGAAGGAACTTTCAATCATATGATGGATCCCTCTACAGTTTACTGTAGTTACTGAACCCCTTCACCTAGAAATATACAACTCTTAACCCTAAACCCCTAAACCCGTTTGGGTGTTTCTGGAGCTCTGAATCCACGTCCCAAGCCTCAGGACTGCGTCCCCGAAGAGATACGGGGGTTTTAGGGTTTAGGGTTTAGGGTCTAGGGTTTAGGGTTTAGGGTTTAGGGTTTAGGGTTTAGGGTCTAGGGTGTAGGTTAAAGCAGACTACGCAATGATGACCCGGTTGACAGAATCCAGCGTGAAGAATCGGAGGAGCCAGGGTGTAGGGTTTGCCTCCTCCAAAACAAAGGACACACTATGAAGGCCCTCTGTTCAAGGGTACTTGGGGTCCCGGTAAAGTTTAGAGCTCAACATCCAGTTAATATAGGGGCCTTAATAATTAGAATAGGCTTTTGGGGTCTATTATACTAATAAGGAACCCCCAAGACTCTATTCTAATTGT